CGGAAACCAAGTAACGGTCTGTTTAGGGAGGGAGCAGTGGGCCCCCCTCAACACACACACACTCCAGGGGCGGTTGGGGACATGGTGTAAGAGCCGGGAGCCCCAGATAAGGGACAATAGCAACGGCCTGTAACGGCCATCAAGGCTCACCCTGGCTGGCAGGGCTGGGCCCAGGGGATGGCCTCCCTCTGCTCCTGGCCTCTGACCTCCCTGTGTCTGGCCACTGCCCACATTCAAGGGGATCCTTGGAAGGATGGTGAAGCAGGCATTATCTCTGGCCTCCCTCCCTCTCAGGGCACCCTACTTGTTCCCATTTCTATCATGCACCATTTTCCGGGCTCATTGTTGTGCACTGGGAAGGATTCTGGAGGCTGCCTGGGTGTCCAGACCCATAGACATGGGGCACAAACATCAGGGAAAGAGGAAAAGAGGGTAGAGAGGGCCCCTCTGGGGCTTCCAGAATCACCTGTGTCGGGGCACCTGCTCTGTCTTTCCAGCTGTCAGGGCCCCCGGAGCCCAGCAGTGAGCAGTCACTGTTACAACAAACAGGTCCTGAGCTGAGCGTGCCCAGTGCCCAGGCTGCCATGGTGAGCAGCGCTCTCAGTCAGGCGCGCAGGCCCTGCCTGGGGATGCACATCAGCTCTGAGGGAGTCCTAGAATACGGGCAACTCCTGGACACAAGCAGGGCTCGTGCTTTGGGAGCTTCTTCCCAGGGGGTCTCTTTTTCAGGGGCACCTCCACTTCCTGCCTCTGTAACCCGGACCAGCTGCTCCCCATGGAAGCTTCCCTCAGGAGGTGCCCCGAGGATGCCACTGGGTGCTGAACACGGGTCCTCTTTCCGCAGACAAAGGCATGGCTTCCTTTCCAGTCAGTCATGTCCACTGGAGACAGACAAGGACAGGGACACAGCTGGGGTTTTGGCGACTGCCCTGGGTCTTATAAACAGGCCTTGTGAAGGGCACAGGGGCTCCGACATCGGCCCAGGCCCAGCCAGCCTGGAGGGGAGGGAGGAGGTGCAGGTGGGAGCGGTGGTGGGGGGCGCCAACAGTGTTTGCCTTTCTAAAGCACTCCGGGTGCTCAGGCTGGATTTCCAGCCTCGTGTTTGCAGCCTGGGCAGCCACTCCTCGGTTACGTCCTCCGCCTGTCCACGTGCCTCTCTCGACAGGTGCCCGTCGGTGTGCGTGTGTTCCGCCTGTGTGTCTGAGCACACCTGTGGGTGTGGGTCTCTCTGTGTCTGTGCCTGGCCCTCCTAGAAAAATGAATCTCGCCTCCAGTTTGTGTGAGCCTTTCTACCTAAAACATTTGCTAAAATGAACCTGCTGAAAAAGCTTGCACAATGATTTTTTTTTCTGTCCCTGGCATGGGCACGAACACCAGCGGGTCTCCATGGTCAATTTAGGAAGCTTGGGAAAACATTGCTTGTAATTAAAAGTCTAGAAGGGCCTCAATTAAGGCAGTGTTTGCCCTGCCGGGCCCCGTTCCCAAATCCCACTCGGCAGCATTCCTCTGTTGGCTGGAAAAGGCCTTTGATTTGAACCAAATGTTCAGCAGCCACACTGGACCGGGCCCTGGCACCGCTGTGCTGCTCGCTGCTCAGGGCACAGGCCAGCCTCTGCCCCCGGGCCTGTCACGGGAGACTTTGGGCTTTGTCCCTCCCTCCTGACTTCCCAGCTCCTCTGTGATCTGAGCTCTGACTTCTGGAGTGGCAGAGCTCCCTGAAAGATGGGGACGCCGAGGCCACCCCAGCACCCCTCCCCACCCTGGGAGGTAGAGCTCACACTAAGACTTAGAGGCCACAAGTCACCAAGGCTGAGGCAGCAATGGTCAGTGTCATAAGAAGGTGGGGTTCGGGGTGCAACAAGCAATAGGCCGGTACCCCTTCTTACTCCACAGAGGCCGCCTCCATCAGAGCAGAGGCCTGGCCTTACCTGCAGCCACTGCAGAGGGCTCCAGACCCCAGAGAATATAGGACCTGGCAGGAAGGGGTCGGGAAATAGCATGAGCCTCTGACCTCTTTAATTCCTTGGGATTAAAGATACACAGCTCAGCTAACTGGGACGGGGCCCAGGGTGCCACGTTTGCCCCCCTCCTGCTGGTGAGGGTGAGGCAGCCAATGACACAAACATGGGGGCAGAGGGCACTACTTCCTCCCTGGAGCAAAGGCTCAGGCGCTCAGCTGGGTGGGCGGGAAAGAGAAGTGCTGAGTCAGCTCAGATCCACGTGGATCTTCCTTCCCAGGACAGGCGCACGCTCACACTCTCCCACACCCCCACCCCCTGCTTGCACACACGCTGGATTTACAACCACACTTGCTGCCTTTCACAGTTGTGTACCCATGTTCACAGGGTACACACTCTCTCTCTCTCTCTCCCTCCCCCCCGCCACCCCTCAGTCCTCAGTATCCCAGGTCACAGCCACCCACACAAACACATTCCTCCGCCCATTGCACTGACACCCATTCACAGTCACAGCCATGGCTACAACCAGACACGTAGATTTCATAACAAGGATCTGCAGGCCCCACGCAGGACTCTGTGGTCTCCAGCAGCTCTGACCCCTCTCAGTGAGGAAGGAGCCCCCACGAAGGCAGAGGGTCCAGGGTGTGATGCCAGGACCAGGCCCTGGGCCCCGTGGGTGTGGGGTGGAGAGTGCATGGACATCTTAGGAGGGCGGCCGAGGTGTCCATCCCTGCAGGCCTCACCCCTGCAGCAGGGGAATGGCAGGGGAAGGGTTACAGGCTAACTAGAAAAAACAATTACTAACGGGAAAGGCAGCACATTCCAGCCCTGCTTAGCAGAGCCGCCAGGGCCGTGGGTGGTTCTTGGATTATGCATTTCCTTGAAAACAAAAAGGAGAGTTCAGGGCAGTTCAGCTGTGCCCTGAATCTCACTCCGGGGCCGTTGTCCCCAGCCCCTTCACAGCCCGCGTGCCTACACACACGCACACGCAGCCCCACTGGCCCGGCCACATGTCTGCTGGGAAATGGAGAGCATGAATACCCCCTAAAGCCTGCAAGAAAAGCGAGGGCAGACGCAGAAGAATTGAAGAAGGGTGGGGATCGGGGAAGGGAGTTGGGATATCGGAACCCTTGTTGTCTGGAAATCTCCCTTCTGCGGGTGAGGCTGTGGGAACGTTGGCTCATCCTCTCACCAGCACTGCATGGAGCCCCCACTCTGTGTCAAGCATTGTCCCAGGCCTGGGGTTCCCCTTGAAGGCTGGGAAGACCCGGTCCCCCTATTTCCCCCGGGTGGTGTCTTCTACCCATCTGTCTCAGGTCCCACACTGTCTTTCCTCAAAAATCTCGTCTCCTGATGGACTCTGATCACCATATTTATACGGAGGAGTGGGAGGCTGATAAGCCTCAAGGGAGACCCTCCCAGGCTGCTTTACTTTTTTTTTTCTTCTTTTTTTATCCATGACACAGCCTCAGGAGGTTTTGAGGACATATGCCCCTGATTTACTTTTTAACCAGGACAGAGATGGTGGTTGGTGCCTCCCTGTGGAGAACAGGAGGGGACAGCCATCTTGCCGTAAACAGAGAACAGAATCTCACGGCCTCTGAGTCTGAACAGGTATGTCCCATTCAGCTATGTCCCATACCTAGCTATGCCCTCTAGCACGGGCTCCTCTGAACCCTGCCAAAGCCCCCGTGAGTCGGCAAGGGAAGCATTATAGTCCCCATCACAAATGGGGAAACTGAGGTTTGGAGAGGGATAAAAATCGCTCAAGCCGATGTGCAGGCTGCCTCCCGCTTAGAGTTGCCTCCCTCTCCTCAGTGCTCTGAATGGCTGCCTCATTCCTGTCTTTCAGGCCTCAGCTTAAACACTGACCCTCCAAGAAGCTCTGTGGCAACCTATCTGAAACAGTCCACCCCTTCTAGCCTCCCTGTTGTTTCCCCTCCGGCACATGTTGATTTGTGGGGAAGGTGGGTGAGGTCGTGCTCTCTCACCCAGGCTGGAGTGCAGCGGCGTGATCATGGCTCACGGAATCCTTGGCCTCATGGGCTCAGGTGATCCTCCCCACTCAGCCTCCTGAGTGGCTGGAACTACATGCGCGTGCCACCACACCCAGCTGATTGTTGTTGCTGTTATTTGTAGACATGGGGTCTTGCTTTGAGGCCCAGGCTGGTCTTGAACTCCTGGCCTCATGTGATCCTCCCACCTCAGCCTCCTAAACTGCTGGGATTAAAGGCAGGAGAACACAGTAGGCACTCAACAAATATTTGTGGACTCTGTAAACAACTGAATGGCTCTGTGGCTGTGGTAGGCAGAGCCAGGCCTGGAATCCTTGAAGCCTTGGCCTCCACTCAGATGGGTGGCTGCCCTTGTCCATCAAACTCCCTCCAAGACAGAGGAAAGGGGATGCTCAGAGGCTTTCTCCATTCCAGCCTTGGGCTATACCCCAAACAGCCTAAACTTAAAAAAAAAAAACAGATTCCACAGTTGAGCTGCATGTGGATTATGCAAGGACCAGACGCCCAGTAGACAGGGTGTGCCAGAGGCTTATACCTGATGGGACCTCAAAAGAGGGCCAGGGGGCCGGCTGATGCATGCCGTGTAGACGTATTCACTCACTCCATTCCGTGGACATTTTCCAGGTGCTGAGCATGGCTCTCGGATCCAGTGCCTGCCTCAGAGTGTGCACAGGCTTTTTAGGAGAGAGTCAAGAAATGAAGCTGGCGATGCCGTAAACCCGGAGCAGAATCTCACATCCAGCAAAGGACGAGACGATCTGGAGTGCCAGGAACAACTTCACTAAGAGATCAGAAGTGGTCTGAGAGCGGGGTTGACCCCAATAAGCCTGCCAGGCACAGGGAGCAGCACGTGAAAGGAGTAAGGACGAGCCTGGCAGGCCTGGGACATGCCAGCAGGTCACTAGGCCTGGATAGAAAGCTTGAGCATGGGGCTGGAGAAGGGATGGGCCCAGGTCACAGGGGGCAAAGTCTGCTGGCCCAGGAAGCCAGGGCTTCATAGGGTGGATGGTAGGGAGCCTGCCAGGGCTTTAAAGAGGGGAGAGATAGGAGCAGCTTAGCATTTTAGAAAGTTCACTCGACTGAAAATGTGCAGGAAGCACAAACCAAAGCACAAAGACAAAACAAGTTCAGAGGATGTGGCTGCCACCCAGGTGAGCAGGGAAAGCTTGGGCCTGGGGCCGGGGGGATGAAGATGAGGGGACAGATGTAAGAAATATTTAGGAGAGGTGTGAGAGGCTTGCGATAAACTGGCACGGGGGAGAAGGGCCAGGCTGGCGTTAAGGGTGAATTCCAGGATTGTGGCCGTCTCGGCTGAGTGGAGGGTGGCGGTGGGAATCCAGGCAGAGGCTGGTGTGCTGGCTTTGGCCGTGTGTCTGGCTGGCTGTTAGGAATGTGGGTCTGGAGAGGGAGGTGCTGGGCTGGAGCCCTGGAGAAGTTGGAACCCAGACGTCAGTGCTGCCTGGGAAGAGGATGAGGCGGGGAGCTGGAGTGCAGTGAGCATAGCGGACAGTGCCTTCCCTCTCTACTAAGCCAAACCTGAGCATGCTTCAAGATCCACTCACCCCATCCCAGCCCACGCCTGTGTGGGAGAGCATTCAGCAAAGACTGTCGGGAAGAGAGGTGCTTGCAACAAGGAGGGCAGTAGATTAGGATGGCAGAGGGCCTTGGATGCGGGGAGCAAGGGTGCAGAGGCAGGATTGCAGGCAGCGGACACATTTAAGAACTTAAGAGGCTTCCCTAGTCTGGGCCCAGTGTCCGCTCAGTGGCCCATAGGGAGTCCTGGGAGCAAGGGCTTGATGCTGGGAATGACCATTCCTTCTTGGGACGAACTCCAGCCTACTCCAGCACAGTGACCAGATGCCATGGCGGCACTCGCAACCCCCACAAGAGCTGTTACCCCAGGGCCTGCCCTGCCTGACCCAGGGAGGCACCTCTCCAGCCTCTTGTTTCTTTCCACAGTGGGCTTTCCAGGGGCTGAGTGCCGAGGCGCAGGAAGAAGGACAACTCCAGAAGCAGGAACCCTAAGCTGGGCAGTGTTTCCCACTCCCTTTCGTTTCCTTGGTGTTGAAGAGTGAATTTCACCTCCTTTCTCGTTTTCCTCTTTGCATTTTGTAGGACACACCACCTTGTCCAGCCGCAGTGGCCACAGTCCTCAGGCATCTGTCACCTGCTCTCAGCCCTTCTTTCTGAGGCACTCAGTAGTGGTCAGGAGAGGCCCTTGGGACGCCCCTTTGCATCCAAGACCCCAATACATTCCCACCTTTTTCCTGGTCTCCACATTCCAGCCCAGGCCTCTGTCCTGTCCCCAGAATTCCCAGAGAAGGGCCAGGGAGAGGGCTATAAGTTCTCTATAAGACCAGCAGACGCAGTTGGTTGACGCCCCTTGACTCTGCTGGTGGCAGGAACATTGCTGGTGGCCAGCAGCTGGTATTCCGCTCTGTCCCATGGGGCTGTGCCCAGTCAGCCTCAGATACCAGCAGATGGCCTCATCCTCTCTGGGATGCCCTGCCCCACTCATCTGGACCCCATTTCTGTTTCTGATATTCTGTCTCCTTATCTCCCTCCTCAGATTGGACAGTCCCTGTGGACCTGGGGTGCGGGGAGTGACCCAAGCCTCGATTCTGGCCAATGAGACTGCCCATCCAGGTGGAAACCATCACCTTAATTACCACGCCCCCTGGCCGCCAGAGGAGTCACGCAACACATAGCCTGCCTAATATGCCAGCCGAGTGGGGGAGGCCCCTGCGAAAAAGGCCCATGCTCCCCCAGCCACTCTTGGGGCCTGGAATAGCAAACCAGTCCCTGTCCTTTTGAGGCACTGTAAGGCCTGGGGCCTAGAATGTTCTTTGGCACAAGAGAAGTGGACGCTCAGGGGTCCAGTGGGAAGAGCCAGGTACCACCAGCCCAGAAGTAAGTCTAGCCAGGGAGGCGGCGTGCCCAAGGAACACTCCTGGCCTGCTGAGTCACAGGCATCCCGTAAGGCCCCAGTCCCTCACCTGCTCCCTGTAGCAGCTCACCCGGGACTCACTCTCTGCCGGCAGGGTGACGGGCCCTTGAAAGGCCTAAACCAGAGAGGCTGGAGGGGCTGAAGGCGGGAGCCAGCTGGCCCCAATCCTGTTCCCTCTGGAGCCCCTCGGTCCTAAGGCCAACCCTCAGGTGTGGCTTGTCTCCTTCTTAGAGGCTCCAGTGGACAGAGCTCCCCACTCCCACCCCACCGTCTTGTCCCAGAGATGGAAGAGAACTTGGGAGCAGCCCTCAGAACCAGAGGTACCTTCAAAACCATGCAGCACCACCAGCTGAAACCCAGGTCCCATGGGCTCTGCCACTCCCCATGCCAAGCAGGGGGAAGGAGGGTGTGGGGGACAGAAAAAGGAGTGGGCAGGGTGGGGCCATGGTGGTTTGGATTGAGATGAGCTGGACTTAGGTGTGTGACAGCTTTTCCCCTGGGCCCAAACTTATACCTTTGTTTTCCTGCTCTGGGCCTCTGTAAAAGGAGGATTGGGGATGGCATGTGCGCTGTTCAAATGCTGCTCTCAGAGCCCTGGCTCTCTGTGGCAGAGAAGCAGAGCCGCAGCAGCTCTGGGCTTAGGGCCATACACCGACCTGCACCACTAGGGTTTCATTTGCAGAACCAGCCCACAGCCGAGGGGCCTTTGGTCACCTCTGGGCAAGGTGATATCTGTGTCCTTCCTGGCCTGAACCTTGCAGAGATGGACAGCACCATATCTGCTGCTGGGGGAGAGGGGACACACCCAGAAGGAGGAACCGAAGAAACATACTTTATAAACCTTAGATTGAGTCTCAATACATATGTCCAGGACATGGAGGGATAAGACTGACCATGGGACATAGGCTCAGAATGAGGAGACCTAGAGGAAATGTGCACCCGTGCTCACTGTTACCTGCCTGTGTGCACACATATCCACCTGCACACATGCACACACACCTGCACACATGCACACACACACCTGCACACATGCACACACACGTGGACACACACACACACACATAGCTGCCCCTCACAGCCCTGCCTACATGGAAGGCACCAGCTAGAGGTATCTCCTCGCCTCTCGCTCTGGGCCCCACCTCACTCCCACCTACCTCCTCTCCGGACTCCTCAAGTTGACCTAGCAGAGCTGTGTCAGGAGATGAGGAAAACGTCTCTAACTGGTTTTCAAATATTTGGGTCTTGCTAAAGACCAACACATTTTTTTAAGTGTGTATAATTTGAGGGCAATTTGATCCATATGTTTCTGATTCCCCTGCACTTAAATCATCAAAATATTGATTTTTAAGAGCCATTTGATGTCTAAGGAATCTTTTTAATAAGCTTTTAAAGCTCTTTAAACCCAGAGCCTGGAGCCAGGGCCAGAGCTCAGGCTGTCCGCTGGCCAGCCGCACCCTCCCCTCCCCTGGGTCAGGACTACTTGGCGCTGAGTCTCACTGCCCCTCTTCCTGGCCTCCCTGCCTCCACAGGGTGCTGAACCTCCCAGGCATGCTGACAGAGGAGCCCAGCCCCTTCTGTTACAGACTTCTCTCCTGCTTCCTCAAAGTATGCCTAAGGCACGAACCAAGAGGAGCAGACGCGATCTTTACTTTTGAAAGGCTGCATAAAATTTAGCTGCATAAATGTGCTGTAATGTATTTAACCAACCCCTACTGAAGGCTGTTTAGGTCGTTTCCTGTGGCACACTTTTATGCACGTGTCTGATTGTTTCCTTTGGATCCATTTCTAGAAGTAAAAATACTGTGTCAAAAAGTGGACACACCTTACGTCCCTTTACTCATGAGTTGCCACATTATTTTCTAAAAGAGTACACCAATTCAAACTTCCACAGGCTCCTCCCGCCTCCCACTCCCGCCCCATACTCTTGAGTGGAATTCTCGTTATTCCTTTTCAAATGGTGCCATTCCATCTGCACATGTGGAAGCTCTCTAGCAAAGCAGTTAAGAGGAGGCTCTGGAACCAGAGAGCTTGGGTATGAATCCCAGTTCTGCTATGTCCTAATTGGGAAAGTTGCTTATTCTGTCCATGCCTCTGTTTTCTCATCTACAATTTGGGGGATAATAATGGCATCTACCAAATAAGTTTATTGTGAGGATGACATGAGATCATGGATATAAACTTAAACTACATAGAAAAGCGCCTGGTGCACAGTTTGTGTTCAGTAAATGATAGCTAGTATTGTTATCCTTTATGCTTTTTTTTCCAACCCAGAACACTTTTTGTCTGACCAACTGCCACCCACACATCAGACGCCCCGTCCTTGTTAGCGTTCCAACAATGCCCACCCCTTGATACACTGGCGATGCGTCCAGTGTATCTTTACACTTAGTATCTACCTTTCCCGCCACCTTGTCAGCTCCGAGAGGGCAGAGTTGGGGTTTCTTGAATTCCCAGGGCCTACTACAGTGCCTCACGTGCTGCAGACACCCAATAATTTTGTGTTGAAGTGAGCAGAACTGAATCGAACAGCCCGTGGCAGCTAGGGGTCACTTTTGACCCATAATTTCCAAAAATTCTATTCACCCACAAAGGGCAGAGATTTGCATCTTGAGGATAATCAAAAGAGTGCACTGAGGTTCTCACACAGCACAAAAAGGTGAGTCCCCAAGAAAAGTCCACAAATGTTTATGGGGATGGCAGCATCACTGGCGGCACCTCCGTGGCCAGTGTGGGTGGATGACACCGTTCTGGGGGGAATGTCCTGCTGCCGTCAACCATGAGCAAGGCCAGTCCCATGAGGCAAGCCCACCTCGTTATTCCTCTTCAATTTTTTCTTTCACTTCCAGATACTTTTTCCTTGCCTTTCCAACACAGAAAGGACGGTGCCTCTTCCTTTTGTGACCCTGTGCTAGACACATAAGTGCTGGGCATTTGGCAAATGAGGCATGAACGGTGCTCCTCCTTCTCATGATGTGGAAATCTTGGAGAGCAACCACGATTCTGCAGATGACTAGGAAGTGCCTTCCTGTCACATCCACTGCTCTGTGCTGGAGAAGCCCATCACTACACACCCACCTCACAGGGCAGTCTGGAGATACGTGCTATTGTACATGTGATTCGTGGCCCATGGGTTCCCCAGAAGCTCACTAGAGCCTGGACATCCCAGAGGAAGGCCCCAGCCTCCAGGTAGGATCTGAATTCCAGGAGACCAGGCAGAGCAGCACCTCTCATTTCCTTCCTCTAGCTCCCAGTGACTCCGTCCCACACTCACAAGGGAGCCCAATTCTGCCCAAAAAGTCCTGTTGCAATTCAAATCAATTCGACTCAACCTCAACAATACTAGCATTGTGCAAGCCAGAGCTGAGGACCTGGGCAGACAGACACATGAAGCAGGCTGTTACCAAGGCACAGCGTAAGAAGTGCTCTTAGAGAATTACAGTGACCCCTACCCCAGCAAACACCAATTTCTTGTACTTTGATTTCCAACATCACTTTCTATTCATGTGGTTCATTATGGAAGAGAATATGTACTGCTCTCTATCACAACTTCATTGTTCACGGGGGTGAGCGTGCATGTGTGTTTCTGTGTGTGTTTTCATGTATGCATACATCTGTGTGTGTGTGTGTGTGTGTGTGTGTGTGTGTGTGTGTGTGTGTGTTTAGGATTTAAGTTCCTGGAGGGTAAAGATCATATGGTGAGTTTCCCTGACTCTTCCACAGACCTTACACAGGGCTAGTCAAAAAGCTGCTATTCAATAAACACATCAATTAATGAACGAACAAACACCAAACCTAAACTCCCCTGCTCAGGCTGAGATCTGGGAAGAGGGTTAGCCTGGGCATCAGGATTTGTGCATTTGAAATGTGGTGGCTCCTGGGGGACATGAGCAGGACTTGCTCTCTCTCTCTGGTCCTCAGTGGCAATCACTGTGCTGTGAAGGAGTTGAATTAATGATCTCTAGGGTTCTCTCAGGCTCTGGAAACACTTTGGTCTCCCTCCCACAGTAGGGTTTGTTCCCAATTGCCCTCCCTACTCAGCCCCTCCAGAGGCAGGGCTCATGAGACTCACAAAGGCCCCCAATCTAGCTGGGGGAGGACCTTTTGTTCCCCTGCCTCATAGGGCTCAGGGCTATTTTGTCAAAATTCTCCAGGAAAAGAGAAAAAGCACAGAGGCTTTCGCTAAAGCCCAGTGGGCAGGTCTCTCTGAGGACAGGGATTAAGTTTGTCTCTGTTGATCTCCCCTCCAGTCAACGCTCCTGTCTGGGAACCAGCTTCGGATTTTCTAGGGTTTATCCTCCCTCATATGTTTCCATTACCTTTGCATTACCCTTGCGCCATTTTTAGTGTTCCCTTTGGAGTGCCTTTGCAAAGCAGAATAGATCTCAAAAGAACAAAGCAAACTTTGGTCCAGGCTCATTCTAAATGAATTCCTTCTTCCTTCAACAATGCCATCTTAGGAAAGAATAGAGACACTCCTGACTCCCAGGCTGGGGCATTTCTGCCAGACCCTCCCACCAGACCTAAAAGACCATCGCTACTGGAGAGGAGGGGGGACAGTCTTGAAGTGTCCCAGCTTTCCTTCATCACAGCCCAGGAAAATTTCAGGCTCTGATGGAGCTGATGGTGATGGGTTTGTGGATTGACCTTTAGAGGATTATCTGGATTTGGAAGGGTCACTTAAGGGTCAGTAAGTCTGGGAGGACCAAGCCTAATTCCACAGAGAAGAAGTGGGCAGAAGGGTCTCTGTCTCCAAGTGACCCTTTCTTTCTTGGAACTGTTTGTCTACCCAGGGAAAGAGGCCTGATGCCTTAAAAAGGTCTTACTCCGCACCTCAAGCAATCTGCTTTGGGCTATGAGTTGTCATTTCTACTGAACACCACAGTAATGGGAATGTGAGCTTTATGTAGAGAGTAGATGATGCTTTTGAGTCAATTGTGTGATTTTTAAAATGCAGATTTTTAAAATCCTAATGTTCTGAAATGGGAGAAACATTGATTTTTCAATATTCAAACAGGACAATCTTTTAAAAATAAATCTTTGGAGTTCATGATCAATTGGAGGTTTTAGGTTGTTGATTGATTAGGGGAATGCTGATAACAAGATTGGCCTATTGTATGCATCTCTTACAATATTTGGCTACATCTGCTTCCAACAGGGCAGAGTGTAGGATCAGAGATGATATTCCTAGATATTTGCAGAGGTCTGTTACAACTTATAAGGAGAGAGCTGATGAATTCCCAAAGGTGTTGATTTTACTGTCACTAAGATTGAGGGCAGGACTTTGGACTAGGGAAATTCAAGTGCTTTAGAAAGTTTGGCTGACTTTAACTTGAGAATTCTGTTTATCCTTTCTGTTTTGTCTGAAGATGGGGAGGTGGTATAGACAGAGGAAATTTTGAGTAAACATGAATGTCTTGCAGAGTACTTTAATGACTATCTCAGTAAAATAAGGATACTTACCTCTGGATCAGTAGATTGGGACTTTCCTGTAGGAAATACAAAGTTTAATGGCTTTTTATTTTATGCTCTTGAACAAAGAAAGCCTTCAACACATTTGAAAACAAACATGCAAACAAAAACAAAAACTAGAGAACATATTCATATTCCATCACAGAGGATAATTGTATAAAATTCATTTGGAGGTTTCCAAATGGGCCTTGAGGTCTTGATTCCCATCCGTGCCCCACCTTTACTGTTTTGCCAAAATTATGTTGCTTGCGGGTGAGATGTATACTAGACAGGGCTCAGAAAACTGTTGGCCACAGGCCAATTCTGAGCCATAGTGTTTTTTTATAAATAAAGTTTTGTCGGAACGCAGCCATGCCTTTCTGTTTATGCACTGTCTGTTGCTGCTTTTATACCGTAATGGCAGAGTTCAGTAATTTGCTACAGAGATCATGTGGCCCCAAACACCTAAAGTATTGACTAAACTCACTCTTTATAGAAAAAGCTTATCAACCTCTGGTCCAAGATATCTCTAAGACGGACAATTTTGGTCATATTAAAAGTTCCTCAATGTGGTCACTGTAATTCCAGACTATACTCAGTGGAGTTGTGCTGTTTTGTAGGATATGCCTGAGAATTAGTGTTACAGTAAGCCTCGTTCAAAAAGTGGGTGTCCAGACTGTGGAGGGGTGGACTTGGACTGAGATGACCCCACGCAAGTTGGTCACAGTCAGTCAAGTGTGTTTCTTCTCTACCTCCTGTCTTGGGCTCCCAACAAGAGAGGCTGGCTACCTCTACCTGCTGTCCTCAGCAAAATGAGGTTTTGGGGATTCTGTCTCCCAAATCAACTCTCAAGAAAACAAAGTCAGGATGGAGGAAAAAATAGAGTTTGTAACATTTTCAGAAGGTGACCCAAGGTAAAGCTCATCTTCTGAAGGCCACCAGCCTAGCAAGACCTTAAACTTGTCATCCTTGGGGCTAGTTTTGGTCATGGGCTTATTGGTACTCCTCTGTTGACAATTCTGTGATCATTTCCCCCACTATAGACACGTGAAGCTCATGACAAAACAGAAGACAGAGGTGAGGTTAGATGAATAACACGTAAATTGTGGAAAGCCCTTGCTCAAATAAAGCTGTTAGGATAAAAGTAAAAGTGACTGTTTTTTTGTTTGAGATGGAGTCTCTCTCTGTCGCCCAGGCTGGAGTGCAATGGCCCAAACTCTGCTCACTGCAACCTCTGCCTCCCATGTTCAAGTGATTCTCCTGCCTCAGCCTCCTGAGTAGCTGGGATTACAGGCACCCACCACCACACCCAGCTAATTTTTGTATTTTTAGTAGAGACAGAGTTTCACCACGTTGGCCAGGCTGGTCTCAAACTCCTGACCTGGTGATTTGTCCGCCTCAGCCTCCCAAAGTGCTGGGATTGCTGGCGTGAGCCGCCGTGCCCGGCTGTAAAACTGACTTTTACTTATTTGCTACAGCAAGGAAGAACACTAAACAGACGATTCTTCAATAGTATCTTCTTAGGAGAAACAAGTGCATTTTATTTCATTTCCATATGATGGGTTCAGAAGTTTTTATGGCAGGATACCGGAAGCAGGGAAAGAACTTAGACTAGTTAATTTCTTAAGACAAGGGTCGATGTATGAGAGGCAAGGTTCTAAGCAAAAAAAGGAAATTTTATGTGAGTCACAACATTCTGCTGTGATACAAAACTGCTAAGTTCCGGTTCTCACTCCTCAATCCCTCTGCAGTAATAATAGCTGTCACCTACTGGGCCAGGCACTGTAGATGATCTA